GTTCTACCTTCACCCCTTTCTCTATCTTTGCATTATCATCTGTACAACAGAGAACAGTATTCCTGCCTCCGTCCTTGGATCATTCTGAGGACCTAGTGAAATAATGGTTTGGAAGGTGTCTTGGGACAAGGGACCACAAGCATGGAAGAAGTTTTTACCATAAAATGATACTCGTGTAAGTGGTGACCAAAATAATCGTGGGGAAGGGGCAGGATTCCTCTCGGGTTATTTTTATCCAGCCAAGTATTCTATAAGAGATTGAGACTGGTCAGCAGGTGAAAAAAAGTTCTGTGGTCAGTTCCTTGATGGAGTGAGAAAAGCTATTGAAAATATTTGATTGCATGATGTCTGGCTGTTAAGATGTTCATTCAAACAAGATTTCTGAGAAAACTTGGAGATAAATGTACCACAAGTCCATGGTGTTAAGATGTTCTGAGTGACGTCCCTCAGAAACAGCATAGCTTTCGGCTCCAGAAGTTAGCCCCACACATAGATCAAGACAGCAGGATTGTCCAGGTAACATACATTTATTTCACTGAACTCCAGTATTCAAAGTCCTTTCTCTGCTTGATGAGATTTAGCTTTATATAGATCAGGAAAAAAAATATCTCAAGGCTTACTTCTTTTTTTATTAAACATTAGGTATGCTTTGTCCATTTCTCTTTCACATTGCATTATGGTGAGTTCTGCATATGCCTTTCTCCCCTGCGTGACTGGGAACTCCACTCAGGGGACAGTAAGGAGTTTATTTTAGCATTTTCCATGTCTAGTACAGTATATGATATATATTAAAGACTCCATGAATGTTGATTGAATGACTGTCAAACCCTTGCCTATAATACTTCCCTTTAAATTATTCAATTTTTCTTTGCCAGGTAACAGCTGGGTCTTAATTACCTTATTCACCTTATTACGTTCTTACAAAACTTTAGTAATGGTTTGATTTTTGCTGTTGCTGTTGCTTCTGTCAATCTGGACAGAGGTCCTGTATCTGTGATATGGTCTGGAGTGCAGATGCATGTGCGCTTTGGGTCTCCTATCTTCTTTTGAAGGCAAGTCTTCTCTGATTAATGTGCACATCCCTTGATTATAGTGGAAAGTGCGTCAAGGTGCCATGGTGCCACCAGGTCTGAGGTCCATCATAGTCATTGACTTTAGTCTTTAGTTCTTTAGCTGATCCTTCATTGGGTACTCATCTGAACTTCAAAATCCCAAATCTACATAATACCTCTTGGTCTATCTCTGTTCCATGCTCTATTTGATTGTCTGATTCAGCTTCAGTGTAAGTACAAAGTTATTTCGTGTACTCCCTCCAAACACCCTAGTCATATTCCCTTTCCCCCATGATTTTCTTGGCTTGTATTCTGTAGATCCATAGAGCTTCTTTGATGTCTCGGTGGAGCCAAGTAAGGACAATAAAGATGCCAAGAATTCACAAAGACACTTCATAAACCAAATCCCAATTTTCCTGAGTGTTAGGTGATTCTTGTTATCTAAAAGTTAAAACCAAAATTCCTTAGTTTAGCATACAAGGCCCTTAAAATCTGACCTCAGCCTACCATTCTGGTCGTATTTCCCTTTGTTTTCCCCTTATACCCTGGACTTAGTACACTGAATCATTTTACATTTCCTGAACATTCCTCTTGCTTTCATACCTCTGAATGCATTGTTCGTTTTCTTTGGAATTCTTTTCCTTCAGCTTGTCCATATGGCAATGATTCATCAGTGTTTTAAAACTAGCTCAAATTATCTCCTTTCTGAAGACTTCTCTGACATCTCCAGCAAAGTGTCTCTTTCTATGTCTCTCTCAGTCCTCTTTTAATCTTTTGTATATACCACTTATCATAAAGTATTTCAATTATACTTTTAAATGGTTGTTTTTATCACTGTCCTCTGAGCTTCCTGGAGCCAGGCAATAAGAATTTGTCATGTTTCCTTCTCCAGGATCCAGTACACAACCCATTTCGTCGTGGTTGCCTATTATATGCTTTCTGAGTTAATGGCAGATGAACTGACCTAGCAAGATCTAGGAATGTGACCTTAAGAGGCTGTTACTTCAGCTGACAAGATCTGGTTTTGCCAGGATCTCTGATTAAACTGTCTGTGGTCACTGCTGTTAATCAGCAGTTGTCCTAGAACTTGGGATGAATTGAAGCTGCAGATTCCAGAAGAAGAAATCTAGCTCCCTTGGGCTATAAATCCTGAGGACACTCTCTCTATTTGCACAGTTACTTAATACCTGGTACAGCATCTATATACAGGTTCTAGTAAAGATCTAGGATACAGAAACCCTGTAGTCTTAAGTAGGAAGGAAGGGATGTGGGGAAAAATTTTAAAGGGTGCACTGGATTCTGTTTTCTCAAAGGGAATTACTGTTGCTTTCATTAGGTGGAGATCCACAAGGAAACTAAAAAGTGAGTGGAAATCTTTGGTCCATGCTACTACCTGATCTCTTCATTTATTTATCCACAAACAAAAAATCAATTGTTCAACTGTCACCTTTATTAAAAGTGTTCAGACTCCTGTTTGGATGGTCTTGCTGTTCTTCTCTTCACCTCCTATTTGAAGGTAGGTATTTAAGAGCCTTATCTTCCCAAAGATGTGTGTCTCTAATCCTCATATTTCTGTGTAGAGTGGATGCCAAAAGCCTCAGGAGAACATTTCCCAAATTGTCAGGAGAATTTTTTGCCAATAGCCCTGCACAGAGCATCCTTGATCTCTTTGTTCCTCAGGGTGTACACCGCAGGGTTCAGTAGGGGGGTGATGACAGTGTACGTCACCGAGATCAACTGATCTCGATCCCTGGTGTTCTCTGACTTGGGCTTGAGGTAGGCAATGGAGGCACAGCCATTGTGGACAATGACCACAGTGAGGTGGGAGGCACAGGTGGCAAAGGCCTTCTGGCCCTCGACTGAGGCAATCTTGAGGATTGTAGACAATGAGGACATAAGAGATGAAAACTAGACCCATAGGTACAACAAGTACCAAAACACTGATGATCAAAGTCAGGATCTCACTGATGGTGGTGTCAACACAGGAGAGCTTCATTACAGGTCGGATGTCACAGAAGAAGTGGGCCACCTTTGTAGCACAGAAAGGTAACCTGAATACAGATGTCACCTGTGTCATTGCTACAAGCAGCCCAATGCTGCATGCCCCCCATACCAACTGGGCACACACTCTTATTCATGCTAACTGTGTACCTCAGGGGATTGCAAATGGCCACATAGTGGTCATATCCCATTGCTGTGAGCAAGAAGCAGTTAGTGATGCCAAAGGTTACAAAAAGGAACATCTGCACGGTGCAACCTGCTAATGAGATGGACTGGCTCATACCCACGAGGCTGGAGAGCATCCTTGGGAGAATGACCAGTGTATATACAGTCTCTGAAGTGGACAGCATGCTCAGGAAGAAATACATGGGGGTGTGAAGATGACGATCAATCCAGATAATGGTCACCATGGTAACATTGCCTGCCAGGGTTAAGATGTACAATGCAAGAAACACCACAAAGAGGGTGAGCTGGTGCTCGTGAAAGCTAGAAAAACCTTGGAAAACAAACTCAAAGAAAAGAGTATGGTTCTCTCTCTTCATTGAGTGGTCACCAATTCTGTAATGTAGAAGAATAAAAGAGTTACATGATTTCAGTAAGGGAGTTTAAGCACATTTCTGAGATTGATTCATTTTAGTTCTCATCTATAAACCTGGGGAAACAGTTCCCAGTGGATTATAGTCAGTACCTGGGTTTACTTAACTTTAGTTAAAATCTTTTATTCTGTGGCCATCTATTGCAATTTCCTGTCCATCCCAGGGTCTTATAAGCCTCTTTTTTTCTCATGCATAACCATGCCCATTCCCACTTTGCACATACTTTTCTTCCCATCTGGGATTTTTTTCCTCCTTTCCTCCTCTTGTTTAAAATTTCCCTATTCTTCAAAGACCAATTCAAGTTTTCAGTCTTTCATGAAACCATATCATACTCTGATGTTCTCATATTTATTTTCTATCCCCATTACAGCTACAGTCTCTTTACACAACCATTCAGTGACTTTATAACGCATTTTGCATCTTTGCATATCTCATCAGCTCAAGATTATGCATGAATTAGATGCTTGAAGACAATTTGTTTAAGGATTGACTGGAGACATCTTTTCTTTTAAGACTATGAATCATTCCCTTGCACTTCTTTTAGGAAGCAGAAACAGAGCAAATTCAGAAGGGTTCTGCTTGTTTTTAAGAAGGAAAAGGCAAATCTTAACCAACATCCATCCTCTCCCCACTGCTGTCTGAATGATGGAAGTCTGCTGACAGTTCACAACACTGATTCACATATGTTATAAACTACACTACATCTTACCTTCCCCAAACCAGAGGGTAAATTACAGCCAATACAATTTTGCAAGTAAGCATACACCTACTCTGCAGAGGTAAACAAATATACCATGGAAGATGCAGCAAATTCAAGTGTCCCTCACCTAAAGAGAAAGAAGAACCTGAATTCAAAAGCCAGAATTTTACTAAAGATATATCATTGTGTCGAAGGATGGGGAACGCTCCAATTTATGTAATATTTCACATTTTTATCCTTTTAAATGGTAAGCTCCTATAGTGCCTTTAAATTAAATTCTGATCTGCTTATGCATATTCAGAATAAAACTTTTGGATAAAATAAATCATATCTTTGATGAAGGTTAGAAGGTATAGAAACTTCCTTTAAGTTTATAAAAATGTATTTAAAAGAAGTTGGTGACTAGCTAGCTATTAATCATTTACACTAAGAATGCTAAAAGAAAGTAAAGCTGCAATAGAAAATATCCCCGACCAGGGAAAATTATTTGGCACTAAAATATATGGCGAAAGACATTTATCTGCCATGAGGCCTTTGGACATAAACTAGGCAGTGGTCCAGCTGTGGGGTGGTATGGCACCTCTAGGAAGAAACAGGAAATGTGTGTCAGTGATTTTGATTGCTACAATGACAGGTGCGATGCTACTGGCAATTAATGATACTAAATGTCCTGCAATATATGGGGCAGTCCCACCCAAGAAAGAATTGTCCTGTTACAAATACCAATACAATTTCTGTTGAGAGACATTGGACTAGAATGTCATGTGATCTGGCGAAATCCATCTTGAGGTAGAAGAATGGATGTTATGACCTGGTTAGCATCTTCTACTCTTGGGAGCTTATAATTCTTCAAAGGAAATCACCGGAAGGAAGAGCAAACACATCCTCATGAAGACTTCCACCCAACTATGATAAGAGCTATTATATTATAATCAATTAAAGTTAGCCCATGGGTAATACGCCCATTTCATTTCCTTTCCCAAGGAGCACTTACATGTCTTTGCCTAGTACTGAGGCACAACAGGAATGCTGGGCTGGAGGAGGCTGAGGAGTGAAGATAGAAATGTTGTGTCCCCTTGGCCACAATGTGCCAGTGCAGGAAAAAGCAAGGTGCTCAAGAGGACGTATGGCAGGGGATGAGGCTGAGTGAGCACTCAATATACCCCCCCCCGTTGGGATGTGGTCAGGTTTGGGAGACAGAGGCATCATTGACAGATCATTTGGGTGAAGTCTTTGAAGTCAGAGAAGATACTCTCCAAGGAGCAGCCAGTGGGACTCTTGGGTGTGACTCCCTGAAAACATCTGGAGAGTCACCCTGGGGCCAGAAGGATGCAGACAGTAGGTACCTGGGGACCTCATTATGTGTAGGGTTCATTTGTCCAATCTAAGTTTAGCCCTTTGGGAACCTGGGAGAAGTTTTCATGTCAAGTAAAATAGCAACTGATAAAGCTGGTTTTTTTTTTTTTCTTTTGGTTGAGTTTAACTTGTTTGAATAAGCAGATTGTGTATATGTTTTCATTTTAATAGATGTGCCTTGGAAATCCATGGTTACAAATGTAGGCAGCTCAAGCTTAGACCTACACCATCTTGGATCTCAGGAAGTATAGGTAGGCCCTCTCCCTAGAGGGAGGAGAAACTGGTTTTCTCTTTGAAATGAAGCAGTCAGTTCTAGCCACGGTTCTACAGGGGGCAGTTCATGCTGCCTGTTCTTCTGCCCTGTGGCATACAGAGTTGGAATTGCACAGTCCTTAGACCAGTGAATCCATTTTCAGGGTCTAGGAAACAGAGATGAGGTTTTGAGCACTCTGTTCCCTTTCCCCAGAGTTACCTTCCCTTCTGTATTTGGCAAACTTCTACTAGTCCACCAAAATCTAAATCAAAAGTCACTTCTCCCTGGAGACTTCAAGAATCGGTTTGTTGCTTCTTTAGCTTTTTTGCTTACTCTAACATGTATTGCTTATCGGAGTCCACTCATTATTCAAACCTGAAGCATATGCCAGGCCCTGTGCTAGATGCTGGGAATACAGACACGAATGAAATACTGAACCAATGTTTGAGGAGCTAACCACTTATTGCAAGTGACTGTTGTTATTGTTAGTTACTGTTGAGTCAGTTCTGACTATGGCAACCCACATGTGTTACGGAGGTTTTCCATAAGGTTTTCTTAACTATAATTTTAATAGAAGCAGATTGCCAGGCCTTTTTCTCCACAGTACCACTGGATGGGTTCAAACTGCCAACTTGTAGGTTAGCAGTCGAGCACAAACCATTTAAGTCACCTTAAACTGAGATGAATACCACATATAAGTGGGACGGGGGGGAGACAATCCTTGATTAGACTTAAGTTAATTACAGAAAATCACATTGTGGAGGTAAAGTGAATCCAGGTTATAAAAGATTTTAGAGTATTTAGATTTTACCACTATTAAGAACCTCCGAAGTGATTCTCATTTCACCCTCCTGTTCCTGGACTTCAAAGCCCCTTAGCACCTGTCCTCTTAAGGACATGAACTTCTTTACCACAGCCACCTTGTACCCTTTTCCTATTTATCTGGTGCTTTTGCTTCTCTTCTGGAAAAAGGCATTCTCAGCACTGGGATTTGGTAGATTGATCTAGAAGCAGGGGGAATATGTATTTGAGGTTGGTGAGAAAAGATCAGCTAGGCTGCTGATGTAACAGGCTAGGCTGTAAATAATTGGGATTGATCTTGAGAGGCCGCAGTGGGCTCAGAGAGAGATAGATGTGAGAGACATTTGAAGAGAATCAACAGAGCTTGTAACTGAATCAACGTGTGGCTCAAGGGAGAGGAAAGAGCCAATCATCTCATGAATATTCTCAGCAGATTTATTCATGTCAATTCCCTGATTATTCACAAAAATATGCATAGCTTTATATTGTATCAGATGAATCAGAGGGAATGATCTCTATATTAATGGTCCATTATTAGATATGCTTGGTGGCCATGGGATCTCAACAAAAAAGGGGTAGAATTGGGCAAAATGCCTCAATTTACTACAGTGACATAGCTTTGGGACAAATTAGGAAGATTTTGGAAATGGGGCACTGGATAGGTGGCATAAAAATGTGATGCCTGGTGAAAAAGGAGAGGTATTCAGCTTCAGAGTCAACTAATGTTTATTAAGCGCTTTGGGAAATTTTTGCTTCATTTAATCCTCCAATCACCCTATGAAGTCAGTACTATTATCCCCATTTTACCTATGAGAGCTGTATGAGAATCTGACTCTGCCATCAACAGTAAACAGATTGGAATCTGGTGGTGGACAGAAATGAACAGTTTCAAAGTGACTACAGAAGGAAAGCTAGCTAAACAGCTGGCAAAATCAGCTGTAAACTCTCCTAATTTTGAAGACTGCTTTATTTGAGGTCCAGACAGAAGTAGTTCTTATTGTAGTTCTTCCATGGTATTCAGTTTAGTTTATAATCCCAAGTCCAGCTCCCCCAGTGATGTTCTGGAGTTGTCAGTGGAAGTCTCCCAGAACCCTAGACAGAACTCACAACAGCTTTAAAAAAGGTCAACACTATTCCTAAAGTTATGTCTACTCCCACACCTATCCCCCACCCTATCCCTGCCACTTAGTCCTGGGGTCTCCAATCATTCTCTGTGTGAAAACTGCTTTTAAATTTCAAAATATTTCATGGATCCCCAATTGATAATGGTTGTGTTACTTATACCTATTAGTAGAAAAAGTGAATTGTGAGAAAGAGAGCTATGAATTAAGTGATTGGTGTTTTCAAATGAATTGTGGCACATTCAAAATTAGTTGCACGTTTGTGTAAGTATTTATTTAGTCATTATATGAGCACTGATACACATATGAATCTTGGGGCTCCTTGTACTGACTCTGAGAAAACTAGAGGCAAAAAGGGAATGATGCTATGAGAAGTAGTTTTGACCCAGTAGATACGTAGAGCATAGAGGAAGGGAGTCTAGGGTAGAAATACAAACAACAGGTGAGTGGTTTATTAATCCATGGTGGTGCAGCCAGGAAGTAATTCTTCCTGGGAAAAGAAATTCCTTTTACTGAAACATGGGAATGGGGACTATGGAGGAAACCCGTTTAGAAAATCAAGCTCTCCTGAGAATGCTGTTGTTAATAAGGACTCTGTGTCCATATCAAGAGTGACTTGATGTTAACTGAAGACGGACGTACAGAGAAATGTTTGTGTGTGGAAGGGGTTGGGGGAAGGCAACAGAGAATGGAAGGGACGCTAACAAATATTGCT